CACACACTCAGAACTCTGCAGGAGTGTGTGTGCGTGCACGGGATTGCTGCTCCCAAAGTTATCACACACTCAGAACTCTGCAGGAGTGTGTGTGCATGCACGGGATTGCTGCTCCCAGTGTTTTTACGCAACTGCAGAGAGGTAACCTGCCATGGTCTCTTTGGAACACTCAGTGTGGTCCCGAAATGTAGTAGTATGTCTTTTTTATTGCAAAGGTGATGTACAGAGGGGTTACATTACCTTACATAAGTAAGGTAATGAGCACATTTCTTTTTGAACAATGTCACCCCCTCCCTCATTTTCTCCCACTCCCTCCCCCCATTCTCCTCCCTTCCCAGTTGTAAAGTTCATCTCAACATAGTGTCTAGGGAATATCACTGCTGCGTTGCTCCACCCTCTGTCCCACCGTTTCTGTGATTCCCCTTCCCTCCCTTAAATCAGATAACCTTATATACAAGACAAAGGGTACAGAGATCAAAAACAGTGCCAACAAGGAATAAACCAAAGGGGAAGGAAGGGAGGGAGGGATGGAGGGAGGGAGGAGAAAGGGAGGGAGGGAGGGAGGAAGGAAATAGTGCACTAGAAAAACCTCGTTTCCATTTCTTGGAGTTCATTTCGCTAAACATCGTTTTATATGGTCATATGCACATAGCTATTGAACTGCTGTGATCCTCTGCTATGAATATGATAGATATAGTCTAGTTATTACAAATGAGGGAGACCATACAGCCTATGTTTCTTTTGGGCCTGCCTTACTTCACTTAATATAATTTTTCCCAGGTCTTTCCATTTTCTTATGGACGGAGAAATGTCATTCTTTCTGACAGAAGCATAGAATTCCATTGTGTATATATACCACATTTTCTTGATCCATTCATCTACTAAGAGGCATCTGGGAAACTTGAAAAAGGAAATTAAAATAGACTTAAGGAGGTAGAAAATCTCCCATGATCCTGGATTGGGAGGATTAACTTTGTGGAAATGGCAGTGCTGCCAAAAATTCAGTGTGATACCCATCAAAATCCCAACAACATTCTTCAATAATATAGAAAGGCAATCTAAAACCGCATATGAAATCAGGCTCCAGTGGCTCATGCCTGTAATCCTAGCTATTCAGGAGGCTGCAATCTAAGGATTGTGGTTCAAAGCCAGTCTGGGCAGAAAAGTCCCCAAGAGACTCTTATCTCCAATAAACCACTTAAAAACTGGAAGTGGAACTGTGGCTCCAGTGGTAAAGTTCCAGCCTTGAGCAAAAGAAGCTCAGGGACAGTGCCCAGGCCCTGAGTTCAAGCCCTACAACCAAACTCATATGGAATAACCAAAGACCCCCAAATAGCAAAAACAATCCTTAGCAGGAAGAAGACTATTGGAAGAATATCAATACCAAACTTCAAACTCTGTTATAAAGCCGTAATTATATATAAAAAAAAAAACAGCTTGGTACTGGCACATGAACAGGCCTCAGGACACATGGAATAGAACTAAAGACCCACAAAATGAACCCACAGACCTATGGCCACCTAATCTTTGATAAGGGAACCAAAAACACAGGATGGAAGAAAGACAGCCTCTTCAACAAATGGTGCTGGGCAGAATTGGCTAAACACGTGGAAAACTTTAGTTAGTTCCTGAATATATCACCCTGCACCAGAATCAATTCCAAATGGATCAAAGACCTCAATGTAAGACCACATACCCTGAAATTACTACAGGAAGTTATGGATAAGGGAAACAACAGGATTCCTTGGCACAGGATGAAACTTCCTAAGACCCAGAAACACAACAAATCAAAAAAAAAAAAAAGGCTGTATAACTGGATTGCATTAAACTGCAGAGTTTCTGCATGGCAAAGGACATAGCTAGCAAGACAAATAGAAAGGCCACAGAATGGGAGATCTTCACTAGCTAGTTATACATCCAACAAGGGCCTCATACCTAGAATATACTTAGAGTTCACTAACATCTTTGAAGAACAAAAGAAATGTAAAACATTACACTTGATGCTAATGATACCTTATCTATTAAACTATCTACCTTAGAGTCAACAAAAAGTATTTCCAACAAACTTTTACTTGTTTTACTATTCTTTATCCTTCACAAAAAAATTTAAAGCTAATTTTCTCTTTAAAAAAAAAACCTAGCTAGGTGCCAGTGGCTCACACTTATAACCTAACTATTCAGGAGGCTGAGATCTGAGTATCACAATTTGAAACCAGCCCAGGGAGGAGAAGTCTGAGAGACACTTATTAACCACAAAAAAAAAAACTAAAAGTGGAGCTGTGGCTCAAGTGGTAGAGTGCTAGCCTTAAGCAAAACAGCTCAAGAATGATGCCCAGGCCCTGAGTTCAAGCCCCAATATCAGCACACACACACGGATATGTACACGTATACAAAACACTTAGTTAGGAACAGGTGGCTCACATCTATAGTCCTAGCTACTCAGAAGAATGAGATCTGAGGATCGCAGTTCAGAGCCAGCCTTAACAGATATGTCCACGAAACTCTCTAGTTAACCAATAAAAAGCCAGAAGTGGAGCTGTGGCTCAAAGGGTAGAATGTCAGCCATGAGCAAAAGAGCTAAGGAAAAGCACCCGGGCCCTGAATTCAAGCCCCTGTACCAGAGAGAGAGAGAGAGAGAGAGAGAGTGTGTGTGTGTGCACGCGCGCACATGCATGTGCACGCGCACACACACACACACACACACACACACGGCCTAGATCCCATCTTTTTGTCATGTACAATGCTACCTCACCATCTTCTTCTCCCGTGTACCAGGCCGCCTTTTTCACCCCTCACACACCACCTTCAGGGCACCACAGTGCTACCAAGGTGCTATGAATACAATTTCTGAGACTTTGTTAGTATCATCATTAAACTTATTACTAGTAAAATCTTAACAATTTCTAAGAAAATTGAAGAAACTAAGCCTGGTGTCCATGATTCCCCCCCAAACCCCTGCTATCTGGGATGCTGAGATCAGACTGCCGTTGAGGCCAGCCAAATTAGGTGGATTATAGTTCTGGACACTTGGGAACAGGAAGTGAGCAAAAAAAGGGTTAGAGGCATGGCTCCACAGTAGAGTCCCTGCCTAGCATAGCCAAGTTTAAATCCCAGTACCAGCAAAAAGAAAAAGAAAAAATGGGGGAGAAAGAAAGAGAGAGAGAAGGAAGGCAGGAAGGAAGGAAAAAAGGAAGGAAGGAAGGAAGGAGTAAAGGTAGGAAGGGATGGAGGAAGGAAGGAAGAAGGAAGGAAAGAAAAGGAAGAAAAGAAGGGAGGGAGGGAGAAGAAGGAAAGAAGGAAGGAAGAAGGAAGGAAGGAAGGAAAGAAGGGAGGGAGGGAGTAAGAGAGGGAGTAAGGGAGGTAGAGAATGAAGAAAACCTAAGCTAACAGGTTGGTGATGCCTTTGAATTCCAGCATAGTTCTTTATGAGGTCATTGGCCTTCTCCCCGAGTCACTATAACCTATGATGTTACAATGATTCTCATTGTATAGTTTTCTGGGTATATCTGGCTGATCAGCAAGACTATCTGAAATGCCTTGACTGAAGTACCATATGAACAATACATGGGGCATTTTCTGCTCTGTTCTGATCAATTTTTTAATTAACTCCAGATTTTCTTCCCAATTGTGAAAGAAAGATGTCTAATCAAGGCCTGGCCCTGATTTTCCCTCTGTTGTTTATCTGCTTTTTCAAGGAGAGCTTCTGCATTTGTGATGGAACAATCTGGACAAAGGTTGGATGGGAGATTTTTCCAGAAGAAGTGCACTATCTGAAAGTGAAGGCTTCTCCATCCCACTGTCTGCCTTTCCCTCTGGACAAGCTATTCTGTAGCTTTGCTAACATGGATATAGTTCAGAGTTGTTTGCACCTTAGTTATATTGTAGTACAAGCTCTCTTTTTAATCCTATCTGTTTTATCTGTCCATTACCTGTGGATGAAATGGAAGAAACACCAAAAAAAGGTGAATTTCTGATGTAAACATAGAACTTCAAAGAGTTTAGAACGTAAGATCATCGGCTTCTCTGAACAAAGGTTATTCCCCTCGGCAACCTCCTCCCTTCTCAGGCTCTAGCACAGTATCTTGCATGTATTAGCTACTCAACAAATGTACACTGAATCAGAATTTCCTTAAAATCATCTAGACTACTCCTATTTCAAGTACAAGTAGTGAGCTACAGTGTGTATGATGTGTAGAAAATGAAGTCACCTGTCTCAACCCTTAGGTAAGTCATTTGCTCTTTCTCAGCTCTCTTGTTCCAGATCATAGAATGATCAATGAGCTGGAACACGAGATCTCTTAAAGATTTTCTAGGCCTGTCTACAAAAGCTAAGTACAAATGTTGCTATGAACTTTTTAAATGGACTGTAAACTGATTTCTAATTGGATAATTTTCTGAGAACTAGAACTTCTAAACTAATTTCCCACTTTGCCAATAGATGGCACCACAGTTGGAGGCAATCCTAAAAGCCCACTGGAATATATATATATATATATATGTATATATATGTATATGTATATATATGTATATGTATATATATACACATAAACATTTACATATATACACATACATGTGTGTATTTATAAAAGCTTTCTTTTTTATATTTTAAAGGTGATATACAGAGAGGTTACAGGTAATGAGTACATTCCTTTTTGAACAATGTGATTCCTTCCCTTGCTCTCTCCCAGTTTTTCATCTCCCATTTCCACCCACAAGTTGTACAGTTCATTTTCAACATAGAGTCTAGTGAGTACTACTGCTCCATTTGTTCACCCTGTGGGCTTTCTTCTTTTATAAAGGCCTGTGGTTATGGTTTTCAGGTTGATATTGTTTAGCAAAGGTGCTAATATTCAAATCATCTCTCCCAGCAGAGTAAACATAGGAAAGCACTAGAGTTCCTTGATGACAGCAGTGACCAAGCTACCCTTGTTTTGCATAATATAGAAGAACATTTCTTCTCAGACTTTCTTTGATAACTTTTCTCTTGTATAAATAACTGCTGTATGCATTTAATAGAATTTAAGTTTATATATGCAGAATGCAGGTCTAAATTTGAACTCAGATAAAAGTCTCTCTATCATTTGTTTTGCTCCTTTTAGCTGAGAAGACAAGCCTCCTTAGATAAACCTGATAAAGACCTAGAAAGTCCATCCATCTATGACATTGATCAAATACTCTGCAGACTGCTGGCCACGACATCAATGATGACCAAGTACCTGAAAAAGGTGTCCCAACATTCTTTCCCTAAGAAAGTAAAACAACACAAAGAGCAAGAAGAGTGGAGGTGGAGGAAAGGAATCAGAGTACATGAAGCATGAGCACATGCAAACATAGTTCAGTCAAACATGGAAATTACAAGAGAGATCCTTAAGAGGACTTATCTAAGGGTAAAGTAGTCCTTTGAGAGTCTTTGTAATTTTTTTGCCACAATCTTTACTGAAATTTTCTCAAAAAAAAAAGTCTGGATTTCCATTCTATGAATCCATACTTACTAAAGTGACTCCTAAGATAAAACAAAAACACCTTGGTCTGGCATTTCAGGGCACGGTTTGACTTTGAGAGCTGCAGCACTTGTCAAGGAAAGAACTATTAACGGTCCCCTTTGCTCAGAAAAGAAATATCAGATGCAGAGAATTTAAGTACTTTGTTGAAGGTCTTATAGGTTTCAAATGGAGACAGACAGCTGTATTGAAATCCTTGTATTATTCCATCTATGCCACAGCCTGCCCCAGGAAACTCTGACTTGCTTACTCTTCAGTCAGGAAATCTTGTCACTGTCCTCCAACAGGCCACGTGCACATCCAGCTCTAAGATTCCACTCAGGCCCTTTTCCCTTCTATGCCTGTCCAATAGGATCATTCAGTAAATGCTTAAAGGCACAAATACAGTTAACCATATAAAATGAATGTTGTGTTAAATGTGTTCATATTCACTAGTTTGTGTATGTTCATACAACATTAGATGTTACTACAAAATATCAGCAAAACTTTAAGTAGCACATAGGCTTTTTAAAAAATTTCTGTATAATAAGCGTACAGAAAAGTGGAGAAATTAAAAGTGTACAGCTCAATGAAAATGTGCCTATGTAATCAGTAAACTAGTTAAGAAAATGATGACATATCCTAGAAATTTTCTCAAACCATAAGGGTAATTATCATTGTAATTATAAGCATAATAGATTAATGGATTAAATAAGTATTTTATCAGTATTAACATTTTAAACAAATTTATTATTATTAAGGTGTGGTATAGAGGAGTGAGTTATCACTTCATAAATCAGGTAATGAGTATATTTCTCTTTTTTGGACAATGCCATCCTTTCAAAGTATTACTATTTTTTTCTATCTGGGGAATTAAATATATTACTGAAATATTTTTTATTTCTTTTTTTTTGCCAGTCCTGAAGCTTGAATTCAGAGCTTAGGCACTGTCCTCGAGCCTCTCTGTCCTCCAGGCTAACGCTCTACCACTTGAGCTGCAGCGCCACTTCTGACTTTTTCTCTTTATGTGGTACTGAAGAATTGAACCCAGGGCTTCATGCATGCTAGGCAAGCACTCTACCACTAAGCCACATTCTCAGCCCTTGATTTCTTTAACATTGAAAGAATAATCTATTTTGCCTGGCTGTCTCAAAAAAACAGTCCTAAACATATATTGTATGTATAGAAATGACTGGTTATCCTGTTACAAGTAGGTATATTAATAAGCTCCCAAGATACACAATTCCTATTAGGTGCAATGTTATAGACAAACAGCAAATTAGAGAGGCTAAAGAGAAAAAAGGCAGATTTCATATTATTGAAAATAAATGAAACATCCAAGGCCTATAGGTGCAGCTCAAATGGTAGAGTGCTTACCTTGCAAGCATAACATCATGAGTTCAAAACTCAGTGCTACTTTAAAAAAAGTATCGGGTCTGGGAAGGTGGCTCAGTGGTACAGTGCTTGGCTTGCATGAATGAGGCCCTGGGTTCTATTCCTCAGCACCACATAAACAGAAAAGGCCAGAAGTGGCCCAGTGGCTCAAGTGATAGAGCACTAGCCTTGAGCTGAAGAGCTGAGGGGCAGCACCCAGGCCCAGAGTTCAGGCCCCATGACAGACAAAAAAAAAAATCTATTTCACAGGGGAAAATGTTAATCATGTTTTTCCATTACTAAGAGTATATGAGCTTCCTTACCTGCCCGGTCCAGAAACTCAACACACTCAGTCTGATTGTATCGAGCAGCAACATCTCGAGCCTTTTCTTCCCGGAAGTTTAAAGCTTCTATGTCAACATCCAGGTCTACAAGGGCTTTCAAAGTTTCCAAACGACCCCAGGCTGCAGCACAGTGTAAGAGTGTATACCCTAGTGAGCAGAATGAAGAAGGTCAGGTCCAACAGACTAGGAACAATCTCCAACTTAGGACAGTCTGACATGATTTTTGTTTTTGCTTTACAGTGGTACTATATATACATAGAGAGAGAAGGAGAGAGAGAGAGAGAGACAGAGAGAGAGAGACAGAGAGAGAGAGACTATGCAGAATCTTAACATTCAAATTGTCTAAGTCAGACACTGGTAGCTAATGCCTATAATCCTAGCTACTCAGGAGGCTAAGATCTGAGGATCTCAGCTTGAAGCCAGCCCTGACAGGGAAATCCATGAGACTCTTATCTCCAATAAACTACTCAGAAAAATCTGGCAGTGGTGCTGTGGCTCAATTGGTAGAGTTCTAGCCTTGAGCACAGAGAGGCTCAGGGACAGAGCCCAGGCCCCGAGTTCAAGCCCTAAGACCAGAAAAAAAAAAAAAAAAAGGTCTGATACTCTCCTGAGATGCTGAAAAGCAAAAGTGAACAGAGTTCCCAGGAAGCCCCACTATCACAAAGGCAGATGGTGGATAATCTCCAGTGAGTAGGCTGGATATAGTAAGTACACTTACACTATTTTGCTAATAGAACTGGGTCATGACCCACTGTAAGTCAAAGGTTCATCTATACATTAAGTTAGACTATGTGTGACAGTAGATTATAACTGAGTACTGAATGAGACCCGAAGTGCTTTACATAAACTCAGTTAACTTTTTTTTTTTTTTTGGTCCGGTCATGGGGCCTGAACTCTGGGCCTGGGCACTGTCCCTCAGCTCTTCAGCTCAAGGCCAGAGCTCTACCACTTGAGCCACAGTGCCACTTCCGCCTTTTTTCTTTTTGCTTGTGTGGTGCTGAGGAATCGAACCCAGGCCTCAGGCATGCAAGGCAAGCGCTCTACCACTGAGCCCCCTTCCCAGCCCCAAACTCAGTTAACTTTATAAGCTCTAGAGCGTCAGAATTATTGTGATTTTCATCTTACAGATAAGAAAACTGAAGTCCAGAGATGTTAAGAAATTTGCCCAAGGAATACAGCCAAAAAATGATGAACACAAAATACCCAACCCAGGCAGTCTGAAGTCTGAGCAACTCAACATGAGCTAAGGAAGATGTCAGTCTGTTTTGGATCAACCTGATGCTGGGGTTTCAAGGAATTTTCCATGGAACCCTAATTACTCTGGCACTACTGTTAGCACTATCATAGAAATTACTCCAACTGTATGCTTTGGTTTGGAGATTAACCTTTGGAATTAAAGCTGAAATTATGAACTACCAAATTAGAAAGTATTTTAGACTTTCTGAGGCAATTGAATGGGATAGTATCCTTGTCAGGGTGATAAATATGGCATGTGCTTCTACATGTTTTTCAGGCTGCTTTAAAAACTAAAAAAGACCAAAAATCATCATTTTAACTTAAATGGGGGATCTAGCACCAAGAAAGCAAGTAGCAATCCTAGCAAGGCAAGCAAGATGTGTTGCTCTCTTTGTACCTCTCACTGACACTTGTGTCTCCTTGCTGTCCCTCACGGAAGAGTTATTTATACTGAGAGGTGACTGGTAGTTCTTGTCTACCTTCTGCCTGCCTGGTATCATCTGTGCTAGGAACCCAACCTTGGGCATTTCCCAGCAACCCAAGGGGAACACAGCCCTGGTTCTCTGGATGGAAGGTGCAAATTCAATCCAACCCCATATGGAAACCAGTTCCAAGATGCTTACTTAGAAAACAATGAAACAGCTGGACACAAGTGGCTCACACTTATAATTCTTCCGATTCAGGAGGCTGAGACCTGGAGGATCACATTTCAAAGCCAGCCTAGGTAGAAAAAACTCTTCAAGACTCTTAGCTCCAATTAACAAATTGCTGAACTGGAGGCATGGTTCAAATGGTAGAGCACCAGGCATGAGCAAAAAACCTGAGCAGAAGAGCATGGTGCTGAATTCAAATCCTAGTACCAGCACAAAAAATAAAAATAAAAAAAGCAGCAGTAGTAAATGGAGGGTACGACTGACTGGGCAGGAGAGATTATCTTTGGCCAGCAGGCTGAGCCATCTGATGTGGTATTGTTCTTGTATCAATGGTGTCTAAATCCTGCTACTGGCATAAGAAGGTAAATAGATTCAAAACACATTCCGAGTCAATACAGGATTATGAAAATTCACTCTACCCACAGAGGCAGGTATTATACTAAAGAAGAGTTAAGCAAAGAGAATAAACAAAAGTGTGGTATCTATTGAGCACTGGGCATTTTAGTGTGCTTCATTAAATCCAACAGCCCTGTGAGGAGGGCACTAATGGCTCCACTAAAATACGCGATGGAAGATGAAGGCCAGAGCATCTCTACCTTTACCAGGGCTACACCGGGTGCAAGTAAACAAAGCGAGTTAAGATGTAGGGTCTGTGGCCACATGGTTTGCTTTCTGTTGTTGTTCTGTTGTTTTATTTTGGGCAGATCTGGGGTTCGAACTCAGAGCCTTGCACTTGCTAGTCAGGCACTCTACCACTTGAGCCACTCCATCAGCCATCTTTGTGTGGGTTATCTTTTGAGATAGGTCTTGCTATATGTCCTGGCCAGCCTGGACTGTGATCCTCTCTATTTATGCTTTCCCCCATTGCTGAGATGACAGGTGCACACCCCTGCATCTGGCCATTGGTCGAGATGGAGGTCCCTAAACTTTTGTGTCTGAACTATCCTCACACTGCAATCTCCCCATCTCCACCTCCCACGGTTATCGGCATAAACTGCCATGCACACCTTCCAAAGCGCTTTTTAATAATGGCTTTAATCCATGCTTAAGGGCTCCATCTAAACACTTCCCACAAGGAACCATGCCCCCTGGTGCATTGGACATTAAGTGTTGAACATATGAATGTTGGGGGCACAAAGAACTTAATAACTATAAAATGAGGAGCTAAGAAGCACCCACACACCGCCTTCGTGTCCCCGCCTTCTGAAGATGGCGGTTGAGCTGCCAAGGGAGAAACACGATGCACTGAAAGCCTGAGTAGGCGGCCATTCCAAATAGGAAGCACTCTGGATCGCAGACACACACAAGTACTGGAGCTGGCATTGAGGGCCTCCTGGGCCCGCTTGGCTGGCTTGCTCATGGCTGCCACTCAACCACTCAAGTCAAGCCTCCTGTCTAGATTTTTGCTGGCTGGTTGGAGACAGAGTCTCATGGACTTTTCTGCTGGGGCTTGAGTTGAGCCATGTCCAGATATCAGCCTCCTGAGAGGCTATGATCATAGGCATAAGCCACTGGTGTCGGCTCACTGATCTTTTTGTTGCTATTTTCTCATTTTATTTTATTGCGGTCAGAAACCCAGGAGTGTGACAGATTGACATTTGAGACTTTCTTATGGCTCAATATATCATCATTTTTTAAATTTCCATCTGAGTGGAGAGAAGGCATAGTCCTTATTTACTGGAGAGGACTTTTCTACCATGACCATGCTGTCTACAAAAAAACAAATTAGTGAATTGAAAGAGCTAACGATAATGACTGCTAAAAAGTCATACCATTTCTTTTTTTTGGGGGGGGGGTGGAACTGGTTGTGGGGCCCGAACTCTGGGCCTGGGCGCTGTCCCTCAGCTCTTCAGCTCAAGGCTAGCGCTCTATCACTTGAGCCACAGCGCCACTTCCAGCTTTTTTCTTTTTGCTTATGTGGTGCTGAGGAATGGAACCTAGGGCCTCATGCATGCAAGGCAAGTGCTCTACCACTGAGCCACTTCCCAGCCCCTGATTTCTTTATCTTTTTGTCAGTCATGGGGCTTGAATACTGAGCCTCAGCTCTTCAGCTCAAGGCTAGCCCTCTACCACTTGAGCCACAGCGCCACTTCCAGCTTTTTTCTTTTTGCTTATGTGGTGCTGAGGAATTGAACCCAGGGCCTCATGCATGCAAGGCAAGCGCTCTACCACTGAGCCACCTTCTCAGCCCGTCATACCATTTCAAAGGAAAGAAATCAACAGTGACATTAAGAATTTACCATGTGAAAATGTACTATGTACCAACCACCATTCCTTATATTTACTTAGTTAATCCTCATAACAAAATATATTCATTCTGCAGATGAAGAAACAGAAAGAAAGCACTTAGGTACCTTGCCAAATCAGATAGCTAATACTAAAATCTGCATATCAACATTGATATGCTTCCCTGTGTGCCCCATATATGTGTTCATGCATATATAACAGGCACATCTAATTTATCCAGCCTTAAAGAGAGTCCATAGTATCTTTATGTAGTCCTAAGAGAGATGAAAGGTGAATACCTCTGGTGGTTTGCTCATTCAGATTCACGCCATATTTTGCCAAAGCTCTAATGACATCACTTTGCCCGGCCATGCAAGCGGCATACAACAAGTTTCTCCCAACAATGTCTTCTTCCAAGAGAAACTGCATGGCATTTTCATGATGAGGATTTTCAGGATCCTCAAAAATCTTCTGCAAACCTTCTACATCCCCCGTGAGAGCAGGCTGTAGGAGGGGGTTCTCCATGCTGAGTTCCTCTGGCTCTTGGGATTCATCATCATATAGTTGCTGTGAGGAAGATAGTGATTTTTCTGTACTGTCTGACTCAAGGCTTTCTTCTGGATCCATTAACTCCCAAAATACCTATGACCAAAATAGAAATCTTTTCAAACTGACATGATGGTAGAAAAAATACGTTAAGAAAATGATTCTAAAATAAGATACTTTTTTATTAATAAGTTTTTTTAATTGTGAAAATACCGTACAGAGGGGTTACAATTACATGAGCAAGGTAATGAGTACATTTCTTATCAAGCATTGTTGCTTCCTCCTTTGTTTCCCCTTACCATCCCTGCCTTCCCATCTGCCCGCCCCCCCAAATAAGATATTTTTGTCAAAGTTTTCTGTGAATCTATTATGAGTAAATATATTGCCTAAGTATATACCAAATACTAAATGTGTGATATAAACTTTCCCAAGAGGGAGAAAGCTGGGTGCTGGTGGCTCATACCTGTAATCCTAGCTACTCAGGAGGCTAAATCTGAGGATCATGGTTCAAACCCAGCCCAGGCAGGAAAGTCTGTGAGACTCTTACCTTCAATTAACCACCAGAAAACCTGAAGTGGCATTGTGGTTTAAGGGGTAGAGCACTCGCCTTGAGCTGGAGAACTCAGGGACAGCACCCAGGCCTAGAGTTCAAACCCCATAACCAACAAAAAAAAAAGAGAGATTGAAGTGAGCTACTTTAGAAAATAATTAAAAGAGAACATTAAAGAGAGCTGCCTGCCTAAAATGCTGAATGTGTGATATAAACATTTTTAAAAAATAGCAAGAGATGGGCTGGGAATGTGGCTTAGTGACAGAGTGCTTGCCTAGTATGCATGAAGCCCTGGGTTCAATTCCTCAGTACTACATACACAGAAGAAGCCGAAGAGTCACTGTGGCTTAAGTGGTAGAGTGCTAGCCTTGAGCAAAAGAAGTTCAAACAGTGCCCAGGCCCTGAGTACAAGCCCCCCCCCTCAAAAAATAGCAAGAGAAGAAAGATTAAAGTGAGATGAATTCATAAGAAAATGATTAAAAGAGAAAGAAAGACCTGCCAAGCCAGGCGCTGGTGGCTCATGCCTGTCATCCTAGTTACTCAGGAGGCTGAGATCTGAGGATCACAGTTCAAAGCCAGCCCAGGCCAGAAAGTCCATGAGACTCGTATCTCCAATAAACCACTACAAAACCAGAAGTGGCGCTGTGGCTCAAGCGGTAGAGTACTTGCCTTGAGCTGAAGAGCTGAGGGATAGCACCCAAGTCCAAAGTTCAAGCCCCATGACTGACAAAAAAAAAGAGAGAAAGAGAGAGACCTACCTACCTAAAACAGATCCTCCCTGGGGAAGGCTCATGTACCTGTAATCCTAAACTCAGAGGGCTAAGATCTGAGGATCACAGCTCAAAGCCAGCCCCAGACAGACAAATCTGAGGGAAACATCTCCAATAAACCAGCAAAAAGCTGGAAGTGGAGGGTGGTCAAGTAGTAGTGCACCAGCTAAGCAGACTGTAAGGTCCAGAGTTAAAATACCGATGCCAGCATATATGAGAGAAAGAGGGAGAGAGAGGAGGGGGGAAGAGAGAAATAATTGGATTATTGGAGCCACATTATGACGACTTTAAAACATAGGCATTTAGATAGAATCCAGTCAGTAAGACTTAGTGAAAGCTTGCTAATATAGTAGTATGTAGATACTATGTAGATTATAAAAGTGACAGTCAAATTTATCTCTTGTCCTCAACAACTTAAAATTTAAGGGAGAAAATATGGAATACATAAAAGATGACATGGTAACAAGTACCTAGAGGGGGAAACTAAAGAGCAGAGACTGGGATATAGTCCCACAAAGCAGTCCACAGCTGTTGAAGGGAATAAATTATAGTGGTATGCCTCGTGGCAGGCAGCTTCTGCCAGGGCTCCCAGTGCCCTTCCCACCCCCTCACGATTCACACCCGCCTGTAATGCACTCACACTGTGTGGGGGCTGCACACAGCAACCTCCTTGCAGTGAAGCGTCCTGCTGGGATGGGTTCATACGCCACAGAACAGCCCCAGGCATCCACCCTGCATGTGCTCTCCCCTTGCTGCGTCTCACATGATAGGAAGACTGAGGGTAAAGTCTGGCCACAGCCAGTAAGATCTCCTCTCTCAGTTCAATAGCCTATACAAAAACACCATGGAAAGAAAAGGGGGTGGGTATGATAGAATGTGCCTGTAATTCAGGCTGAGGCAGGAAGATCGTGAGTTTGAGATAAGCCAGGGCTATAAAGCAAAACCCTGTCTTGAAATGACTATTTAAAAAAGAGGAAACACTAGTGTGAACACAAGGTTCAGAATGTTTCCCAGGAGTAAAGGCCAGGTAAAGGAAAAGGACAGGAAATAAAGGAAATCATATATAGTTGGTAAAGAATCTGGCTTTTAAACTAGCTCACCCAGAACAGGCAAGACACTGACACTAGGTTTTCAGAAGGAAGAAAATTCAGGAAGAAGAATCTAAAAGTACCAAATTAAAAATGCAAGGCATTTTAGGGGCTGAAGAAGTGGCTACCTTACACAACATAAGCCATTCAAAATAAGCATGACATAGACTCATGAAAAGAGGCAAGAACTTAGTTTTTATAGGTAACCAGAGAGGGGTTGCTTAAGGTTTTAGTGATGGAAATGAAATATAGTCGCATACTTGATCTCACAAGCCAAGGTACACAAATTGAACAGACAAAAGATGCAATTTGACAGTTACCATGAAGCGAACAAGGGCTTTTTAATTCAGAGCTCATGCTGTCCCTTGGCTTTTTTTGCTCAAAACTGCTGCACTCTACCACTGGAGGCACAGCTCTATTTCTGGCTTTTTTTTTTTTTTGGTCGGTCATGGGGCTTGAACTCTGGGCCTAGGCGCTGTCCCTCAGTTCTTCAGCTCAAGGCAAATGCTCTACCACTTGAGCCACAGCTCCACTTATGGTTTTCTGGTGGTTAATTGGAGATAAAAAGTCTCATAGACTTTCTTGCCCTTTCCTGGCTTTGAACCACGATCCTCAGATCTCAGCCTTCTGAGATTACAGCATTACAGCATTACAGGCATAAGCCACTGGCGCCCAGCTTATATTTGGCTTTTTTTGTGGTTAATTGGAGATAAGAGTATCTTGGATTTATCTTCCTGGCTGGCTTTAAACATCAATCTTAAGACCTCAGCTCCCTGAGCAGTTAAGATTACAGGCATGAGCTATACATGCCCAGCTGTATTACTTTCTACATAAGAAAAAAAAATTCTGTGGTCAGGACTGATGGCTCAAACCTGAAATCCTACTCAAGAGGCTGAGATCTGAGGATCATGGTTTGAAGCCAGCCCTGGCAGGAAAGTCCATAAGACTCTTCTCTCCAATTAACCACACAAAAAAAGGCAGCAGCAGAGCTGTGGTTCAAGTGGTACAGTGCTAGTCTTGAGGGAAAAAGCTCAAGGACAGTGTCTAGGCCCTGAGTTCAAGCATCAGGACCAGAAGTCAGTCAGACAGACACACACACACACACACACACACACACACACACACACACACACACACACTCCCTGTGATCATGTAGTTACATTCTATGAACATAAGTGTTTCACAAGAAAATGAACAGGGTGAAATGTTAGGAAGTTATCAACAGTGAAGAGAAAAATATCAGCTGGGCATCGGTGGTCACGCCTGTAATCCTAGCTACTCAGGAGGCTGAGATCTGAGGATCAAGGTTCAAAGCCAGCCGGGGCAGGAAAGTCCGTGAGACTCTTATCTCCAATAAACCACCAGAAAACCGCAAGTGGCACTATGGCTCAAACGGTAGAGCACTCGCCTTGAGCTGAAGAGCACAGGGACAGCACCCAAGCCGAGTTCAAGCCCCACAACCGACCAAAAGAGAGAGAAAAATATGAAATGGGAAGGTGATCAGCTGATATTGATGAAAGCCTCCGGAGAATGGAGCTTCTCAAGCAGGGGTAAAGGGCCAGGTAACAGATACTTTAGGCTGCTGGGCCCTCCTGTATCACTACTCAGCTCTGCCGGGGGAAATTAAGAATAGTCACAGACATAACAGAAATGAATGGATGTGTTTGTGTTTAAAGAAAACATCATTTGCAAAACAGGTAGCAGCCTATAGGGCATAGTTTTCTGGTCGTATTTTTAAGGAGCAACAGTCCAAAGAGTGCTAAAAACAAAACTGTCCTTTGATTCTATGGTGAGATAAAGGAAAGAAAAAAAGCATAAGAGTGGAATGAAAGATAATCACAGTATGCACTGTCTTCTGGTAGAATCTAGGGGCTGGGAGTCTAGCTTACCGAGCACACTTGAGGCCCGAGATTTAACCCTGGCACTGTGCTCAACCAACCAACAAATAAATAATTGGTAGAATCTTAGAATTTCTCCAGCTACTGTGGTCCTACATTAATCTCTTCCTTCTATAAATGTTTATATGCGTTTTACAAACTGTTGTAGTCACTGTGATTATAAATAGTGGAAAAGCTAAATTAGACTGACTTGTAGATTACTTTTTCACATATTTTGTAAACACAGGAAGTTTAATGATGGAGATGGTATAGTAGCTCAAGAATAGAGAGAGTTCTAACATTTTAAGCTATCATACTTTGTATGTCAGGCAAGAATGATGCCATCAGGGGCTGGGAATGTGGCTCTGTGGTAGAGTGCTTGCCTAGCATGCATGAAGCCCTGGGTTGGATTCCTCAGTATCACATAAACAGAAAAAGCCAAAAGTGGCACTGTGGCTTAAGTGGTAGAGTGCTAGACTTAAAAGAGAAGCTCAGGGACAGTGCCCGTGCCCTGTATTCAAGCCCCAAGACTGGCAAAAAAAAAAAAAAAGACGTATCTAATTCTAACCAAAGGCTAGAACCTAGAAGAGACCATGAAGCTGAAGATGCTCGCATCTGAGGAAAATGGTCCTCTCAACCCATCTCATCTCCCAGAGGGAACAAATAAAGGGAAAGTTCTATAGCTTCATCGGCATAAACCTCCCCTTCATTTAGAGACATATGGCAACTTACCAGTTCATTCGAACTGTTTAATGTGTGCTCATCAATCAGCAGAATAGTCCAGTACGAGTGTTTATGAGAGTAAGTATGGAGTCATTAGCAAGGATCACATCCTGCAGCAAAGGTCAGAGAAAGGTCAGAAGTCACAGAACATGTTGGTGAAAATTCAGCCAACCAAGGTAGCTTACACTTGTAATCTCAGCAATGAAGGACACTCTGTGACAAATACCTGAAGCAAAAAAAAACTAGAGACATGGCGTAAGTAGTGGAGCACTTGTCTAGCAAGCTCACGGCCCTGAGCTCATATCCCAGTACTATAAGTTTTGGAAAAAAGATATGTTATTTGGGGTAATAACAAATCAGAGGTTAGTCAGGGTAGAAATGGTCATGGTCCCGAATCCATTTGATTTCTCAGCCTAAATCAACAATGCCAGGGTGAACTGAAGGATCCAAGGGTGGTGTGCAAAGGACGCCTTAATGGGGGGCGGAGGGGGGGAGGCTGAGCATCCACTTTGGGCTGAGGATGGGAGGATCCAGGCTTTCCCAGGAGACGTGAGGCGTCAGGAGAGGGTGGCAGGAGTCTCCGGGAGCGAGACGACAAACCACCGGCCTGGAGGCAATCGGGAGATGGGGAAAGACCTTTTAAGCCCATTGAATATTCCCTCCCCTCCCCTCTCCCTTCCCCTCCTCTCTCCTCTCTCCCTCTCTCTCCTATGGCATTCTGTCTGTCTGTCCGTCCGTCTGATAAATACGCTCAGCAGGATTTTCAGTCCCAGCTCCAGGACACCCTGGCGCTCCTCCACCTCCCGGCCCCGACACGAGGCTCTCCCCGGCTGGCAAGATGCAACCGAGGCCAGGCCTGGGGGCGAGGGAGGGGCACGGCGCCGAGAACCCCGAGGCCGGAGACCCCCGGGGTCGGCCCGGGCCTGCGTGGAGTGGCGGAGGGGGGAGGAGGAGGCTTCCACGGGGAAGGAGGGCTGCCGGGATCTGGTCCGAGGGGACGGGCGAGGCGCCGAGGGCTGCGGACCTCGCCGCGGAAGCCCACCTTCCCGCAGCCCCCGGCGGGAAGAGGCCGGCC